ACCCCCGCCGTCCCCATCTCTACTAAAAAATGCAAAAATTAGCATGACGTGGTGGTGCGCATCTGTAATCCCAGCTACTCAGGAGGCTGAGGCACGGGAATTGCTTGAACCTGGGAGGCAGAGGTTGTGATGAGCCAAGATCACACCACTGCACTCCACTCGGGATGACAAAACAAGTCTCTGTCTCAAAAAAAAAAAAAAAGAAAAGAAAAGAAAAGAAAGAAAGAAACCAAGGTTGGAAGTCGGACATGCTAGAGATAGCTCTCCATTTATAGAAAATATAAGGGGTAGAGGTATTTAAATGACATCAAAGGGATGCAATTAGCAAAATCTAAAAGTGGAAAACTTTACAGGACAAACTTAGTTTCTTCAACAACAACAAAAATTTAAGTAAAAAAAAAGGGAGAGAAAACTTACATATTTAAAGAGATCTAACAGACATATTGACCAAATGCAGTGTATGTAACCTTATTTGGATTAAACAAATGAATTGCAAAAAGATATGACACAATCAATCAAGGACATTTGAACAGTGATTGAATATTTAATGATATTCAGTCACATACGGCTTTTGGAGTGTGATCATGGCATTGCAGTTGTGTTTATTAAAAGAGTGTTTATAGATGAAAATACATGATGCCAGGCCAGGTGCTGTGGCTCACATCTGTAATCCCAACACTTTGGGAGGCCAAGGCGGGGGGATCATCTGAGTTTGGGAGTTCGAGACCAGCCTGGCCAACATGGTGAAATCCTGTGTGTACTAAAAATACCAAAAGTAGTCAGGTATGACGGTGCTTGCCTGTAGTCCCAGCTACTTGGGAGGCTGAGGCAGGATAATCAGTTGAACCCAGGAGGTGGAGGTTGCAGTGAGCTGAGATTGCGCCACTGCATTCTAGCATGGGTGACAGAATGAGACACTGTCTCAAAAAAAAAAAAAAAAAAAAGAAGAAAGAAAGAAAGAAAGAGAGAAAGAGAGAAAGAGAGAGAGAGAGAAAAGAAAATACACAATGCCTGGATTTCCTTTAAAATAATCCAGGGAGGGGAGAGAGGGTGGAAACTATAGATGAGATAAAACTGCCCATGAACTGATACTTGTTGAAGTAGGGGTGATAAGTACATTATATGATTCTTTCATATACTATAATTTTGTGGTTTTTTGTATCCAAAAGTTTTCATAATCAAAAGTTAAGATATGTCATCTAAAATCTGAAAGATTATGCACAAAAATGTATGAAATCAGTGTGAAATTACACTAATACATGAATACTTTCTTCCTTTTCTTCTT